ATAATATATAATTTTTCCCATTGTTGTTTGTTGTTGTTATGTTTTTTAACTATAATTTCTCCATTTATTCTTTTTCTTTTCCAACAATATTCTGAATATTCCGGTGAGTCTCTAATAATGTTCTTGACATTTTCCAATGATGCTCAAAACACTCCGGCGAACTTCCAGTGATGCTCAAAACACTCCGACGAACTTCCAGTGATGCTCCGGCGACTTTCAGGTGATGTTGAATATTTTGGCGAGTCTTCGGTGAGTCTGATAAAAGTCATTGGATGTAACAACATTTTTAAAGTTATAAAAATTTTAAAAATAAAAAATAAATAAAAAGAGTTTTTGGTAGCAATTAAAAATATGTATGACTAATTGGTACAAATATTTTTGTTTTGGGATTAAATGGATTTTGAACTTTGTGTATGGGACTTATTGGTAAGTGCCCCAAAAAAAGATGAAGTAAAAAATCTTTTGTTTCAGCCATGAGAAATGGCAGAGGATGAAATCAAAAAAATAAAATAAAAAAATAAAAAAATAAAAAATAAAAAGAAGAAAAAGAAGAAGAAGAAGGAGAAAGGAAAAGAAAAGAATCCCTATTCTTTATTCCTTGATATCAAATACTTACTGAACTCTTTGTTACATATGTATAAATCTCTGCATCTAGATATCTAAATTAGTGCTTTTTATCATCTGGATTTTGCTTATTTTGATTAAAAAAATTAATTCCATCATGGCTTCCCCAAGTGGGACATCTTTAGGGTCATCTCTCACTCTCTATTCAGAATTCATGCTTTGAGGAAGATGACTCTGATGGAACAAATGGTATTTTCATCTTTTTCCCTCAAATGAAGGGGTAATATGGTCATTTAATATATGTAAGTAACGTCATTTGTTGCAATCTGATGGAATGGGGGAATCTTGATATTCTCAGTTAAAGTAGGAAAGGTTTCTGTAATTATTCAAATCACAAGGGAGGTCCCTGTATTAGTCAGAAACCTCAGGAGATGTGAGTGTAATTTACCCAAGAATATATATATTATTGAAAAGTCAAGGGCACGTGACCCTAAGCTCCGTTTGTTTTGAAAAATAGAGGAGGAATTGGGATTGAGATGAAGGTGAGACTTGCTAATATTATGTTTATTTTGAAAGATGGAGAAATGATTTATAATCTCCTTTGGATTAGGATAGGCCTTGGAGAGGAGATTTGAATGGAGGCTTGGGACTTGGTATTAGAAAATATTCCACCTGACTATTTTTTTTTTTTTTAACATGTTGGGTATTTTTTTTTTTACATTAATATTTTTTTATATTTTTTGTTAAGTAAAAATCATAATTTTATTTGTTTTTATTTTCTTTATTTTTATTTTATATTTTTTACATGTTGGACATTTTTTTTTGAACATTAATGTTTAACTTTTTGTATTTTTTTATTTGTTTTATTATTTTATATAAAAATAATTTAACAATCCCTACACCAACAACTATCATCAAAACAAACAATTTTACTTAATTCACTCACTATCAATCCTCTCACTAATAATCTACTCACTATGAATTCCCCTCATCCTTTGAATCCTTTGAAAACAAACGAGCCTAGTCTCTTGTTAGTTCCGCCGTTGCTCCCAACTTAACTATTTTGATGTTTAAATTTGTGTTTCATTGTGTGCCATTTTAATTGGAATTTGATTATTCATCATGTACGAGGATCCTCAATAAACATTTATGTGTTCGTTTGAGAAGTGAGTTGGCTTTTTGAATTTTTGACTATTTTAACCTGGGACTAAAAAGTCTCGTTTGGGATGTGTTTATTTTATTTTATTTTATTTTTTTGACTTTTGTAAGAGAAAGAATGTAATGATTATGGGTTGGATGTGATGTTTTGTCTTATTGGGCTAAAAAGCCTATTTTATTTTTTTGTGACTATTTTAGCGAAAAAAAGCTCCGAACTTAACTTCCCAAACGAGCTCTATGACTGAATGATTAAAGCGACCAACTTATAATTGACAAATTTATAGATTCAATTCTTACCATATGCACGCCAATGGCACAAGATATAACTTCTGCTTCTGTATGTTCCTTGTGCTAATGAAAAGAAGAAAAACTTGCATATAAGTCAAATGCGTATAAAGGTTTAAGGAGTGATTTGAGAAGTTGGTTAAAAGTTAATTTTTTAATATTTTTATCTTTTTATGAATAAAAAATGTAAAAAGTAATGTGACCCAAAATAAATTAGAAGTTAAAATTAAGGAAAATGCTAGAGGTCTCAAATTTTGGGTTTTTTATTGGCCGGTCCTGAGTTTTTCACTTAGTCCCCTCTTAGTCCTGACTTTTGATCTTGTGCACCAACAGGTCCTGAGACTTTTTTTTGTACCATTTTGCCCCTCCTCTGTTCTGGCGCGTTTCTGTTTGGATTTTCCATCAAAATATTGGGTTTTTTATTTGGATTTCTGTGGAACTTCACGATTTGCTGCTATATCTTCGCGATTTGTGGAGCTTCATGATTTTTGATTTCGCGATTTGTGGTGCTTCGTGATTTCTGATTGCGCGATTTGTGGAGCTTCGTGATTTCTGATTTCACGCTTGGTGTATCTTCGTGATTTGTGATTTACGATTGCGTGTTTGGTGATTCTTCCTATTTGCGATTTCGCGTTTGGTGTATAGCTACATTTTCTAATTTGTGGTGTTGTGGAGTTAGGTCGACTGGTATGTTTGATTTTGATTTCAATTTCAATGTTTTGGTTCTTTTTAGTTTGAGTTGGTGATTTTGATTTTGTGGTGATATTGTTGTTACTCTGTTGTTTCTGTTGCGATTGAATTTGTGTTTTGATCATGATATTGAAAGTTTTATGATATGTATTTGTTAATTGAATTTTAGATTTTTATTTTTTTTGGTTACGAAATTGTGTTGATTGAACACAGGTGTTGGTTTGTTATTTTATACAGTGATAATTTTATCACTGTGTATTTTGGGGGTGATGTTGGATTAACTTTTTCAACAGTGATAAATTTATGAGTGAGTATGGGAATAGGAGATAATTTTATCACTGTATTTGATTTTGTTTTAGGGTGTTTGAGTTGTTTTCTGAAATGTAATTGTTGTTTGTTGTGGGATTTATAGTGATGGAGAATTGTTTGTTTCTTATGTGCAAGTTTAGAGGTGTGACATTGGTTATCAAGTATAATGATGGATTTAATTTCAAGGATTTAGTATATAAATTGTGTGCAACGTGGAGTGAGTTAGTTGGTAGTTCTTTGAATATATCGTATTCAATGGCTGGACATTCTTCTTGTGGTCTAGAAAGTGAAGAGGATTTGAAGGTTATGGTTGGACTGACACTTTCTTGTGATATTCATCGTATTGATGTTTTTGTAAAGTGTTGTTCTTTGGGTGAAGGTTATATGATTTGTGATGGTGAAGCTAGTAGTAGTAATAGTAGTAGTAGTGCTATTTGTGAAACTGATTTTTTGCCTTCATTTTATTCAAATCAACGGAAACCTTTGCTCTCCGATGGGTGGGTTAATTGTATAAAAAGAGTGGGACAAAGGTTTGCTCAAGGAGTTGTTGAATTTTGAGATGCGTTGTCAAAGTATTCTATTCATTCCGGTTTTAATTTTGATTTTGTTAAGAATGATAAGGATCGTGTCACTGTTCATTGTAAGAGAAGGGCTGATTTGGGATGTTTATGGAGCGTGCATGCCAGAGTGGAAAATTATAATAAAGCTTTTGTTATTAAACAATTTGATGATGTTCATACTTGTGGATCTTCTTTTCGTACAATTAAACATGCTAGGATGACTTCAAGTATGATTGGTGGGCTAATTTCTAGTGATATTCGTAACAAGGCTTTGACATCGGTTAGTGAGGTGGTTTGTGATTTCAAGGACTATTATGGAACAGAAGTTTCTTATCGGCGAGCTTGGATGGGTGTTGAAAAAGCAAGGGGTCTTGTTTTTGGTGACTATTCATCATCATTTGACGATCTTCGTTGGTATGTTGATGCCGCTAATGCTTGCAATCCGGGGAGTGTTTTTGATATGGAATTTGATATTGATAGTAAAGGAAGATATTTCAAATGCTTGTTTTTGGCTTTTGAGGCACGTATTCATGGTTTCAAGTATTGTAGGCCTGTGTTGATACTTGATGGAACTTTTTTGAAAGGAAGACACAAAGGTTGTTTATTGGTTGCTACGGCAAAAGATGGTAACCAAGGTATATTTTGTGTTTATGTGTTATTATTATTGAAATAGTGATAATTCTATCATTTTTGTTACTGGAGAGTGCTAATAATTGAGTATGGTCAATCTATTAGTGATAAATTTATGCTGTATACTTTTTGTTAAATTTTTATATTTATACAGTGATAAATTTATCTATGGCTGGTGCTATATGTTATATACTTTGTGTTTTGATTTTCTTGTTGTAATCTTTTTAATTTGTTACTGATAACTTGTATAAATATATATATATTGTTTGTAGGTTTGTATCCGTTATGTTTTGCGATTGTTGATGGTGAAAGTTATGACAGTTAGCATTGGTTCTTGTCAAAGTTATTAGGTATTTTGACTCCGGAGAGGGATATTGCGTTTGTTACTGATCGATATGGAGGTTTGCTGAAAGCTTTAGCTGAGGTCTTTCCGTTTTCTTGTCATTCTTTTTGTCTAATGCATTTGAAGGCAAACTTGAAGACTTATTTGTCAGTGAAGAGTCGTGAATCAAAAGAGTATTTGCTTACTCTTTTTAGTAAATGTGCATATGCTCCTACTATTGAGTTGTTTAATGAGCTATTTGAAGAATTTAAGGGTCATTGTGGTCGTAGTGTTGAGAGGTTTCTTGAGGATTTGCCTAATGAGTGTTGGTGTAACGCTTATTTTCAAGGCAAGAGGTATGGTGAAATGTGCACAAATGCTGCGGAATCTTTTAATTCATGGATTAGGGATGAACGCCATTTGTTTTCAACTAGTCTTGTTGATGCTATACGGGTGAAACTAATAGAGCAATTTTTAAGAAGGAGAGAAGTTGGGAATAAGTGGAATCGTATTGTTTGTCCTTTTGCAGAGAAAAAGTTGGAAGAAGCTTTTAATGATACAAAAGCATGGATATTTAAGAAATGTAGCGATGACATTTATGAAATCCAATTGAATCATTCAGTTATGGTTGATATTGGGAAACGTTGTTGTTCTTGTCGATTGTGGGAAATTGATTCTTTTCCTTGCAAACATGGTTTCTGTGCTATAAAGAGGAGTGGGAAGGATCTGAATTGCTTTCTTGATGATTACTACTGTGTTAGTAGTTATTGTGATTCTTATTCACATTCTATCTATCCAGTTCCTAGTATGTGGAAGCCAAATGTAGTTGTTGATGATGACGTTGTTTTACCTCATCTTTGTAAGAGACCAGATGGACGTCCAAGAACGGAGAGAATACCTTCTAAGGGCAAAATCAAGAGAATTAGATGCAGTAGGTGTGGAAAGATAGGAACTCATAATCGGAAGACATGTAAACAAGCTTTGCTTTAGTTGTATTGATTTTAATTGAATTACTTTGTTTGAGAGTTGAGAGGTGTTACTTGCATTGAATGATTGAGTATTTTTTGAAAGATGTATCATTTTGGTACTCGCATTGAATGATTGAGGAATTTGTTGATCAGAAATTATATTTTTTGCTGATATTTTTACAGGATTAAGTTTCACATATTTATATTATTTGATTTGGGTTAAATGTAGTTGTTGTTTTTTGGTGTTTTATAAAGTGATAAATTTATCACTGGTTGGTTTGGACAAGTTAATGGATTATTTTTTTGTAAGAATGATAAATGTACCATTAATGTGGTTCTTGAATTTTGTTATTTTGAAGAATGATAAATTTATCACTTATTGTGTGGGAAGAGTTTATGGTTATTACATTTATGTCAGTGGTTGATAAATTTATCATTGTCATATCCAAGCAAATGTTCTTTTCTACAGTGACAAATTTATCATTGTATGGAGTTATCTAGTTTTCCCAAGAAAAATTTCCACAATACAAAGGTGTAGATCAAATCTCTAGAATACATAATTGCATATCTGTTGTGTTAACTGCTTTAAAAAGAAAAATTTCTTAAATCAACTACCATGTTTATTTGGTTTAGCAACAAGTTCTTAGTCTGCATACTGTTTTGTGGTCACTCAGAAGCTAGCTTTGGATGTTTGAGTTGTTTAACTGAAGTATCAAATGGTTTTGATTATTCAGAAATCACCAAGGATGGCATGTTCTTACATTCATTCTCAAAGGTGGGAATATCTACAAATTATAACAGTATTTTAATTTCCAATTTGGACAATGTAATAGTGCTTGTGTTTTAATTTTCAATTAAGTAAATTTTTTATTATTTTTTATAGTGTTTTGTTTACTTGAATTGGGGAAAAAGAATGAGAGAGGGAGAGAGAGTCGCTGGTTTTTTCGTTTGAACATTAGTAAATTTATCAATGTTAACAGTGATAAATTTGTTGAAACAGTGATAAATTTATCAGGGTAAACAAAACACTATAAAAAATAAACTTATCAGTATAGTGACTCCAAACCTATTATTAACCTTTAAATTCAACACAAATACTCAGATTAGAATCAATTTTTTGAATGAAATTTGGATAACAAGACTGATATGAAAAACCAGGTCTGGTAACGATATGGCTACAAAAGACTGGATGTTTCATTGAAGCAAATTTGAGATTCTAACAAGCAAGCATTGTCCATAACTTTGACATTGTAACAACCAAGCACTGTCCATAACTTTGACATTGTAACAACGAAGCATTGTAATATTCATTGGATTAAAGTAAGAACCAAAATCATCAAAATACAGGTAAGACTGTAACATATCAAAATACAGGTAACACTGTCCGTTTGTTTTCTTCTATTCCACATGTGTTGATTATTGCAGAGGCAAGTCATTAATGTTTTGATCAGGTATTTGTCGTTGAGCAACTTGTTGGTCAGTCAAGAAGACAGTTAACATATCAGCTCTCAGTTGATTGCATTCTTCCTTGGTAAAAGTAGGCATTATGTTTTTATTGGAAACATATTGCCTTATGATGTAGCAAACAAGGATTCTGCAATCAAGCCTGCAAAAACATTTTGAAAACAAAATATTATAATTTGGTTTTGTTGTTTTTTTTTTTTTTTAATAATAGTGTTTTATTATTGATAAACTTACGATGTGTCATCTTGTTGTGGGCTGTTGATGACGTTGTCTGTCTGCTGTTCAAATTTAGCAGGGTGAATGAGAGTTGGGTTCTCATGCTTTATGTATTTTTCAATAATCTGTCTCTGCAACATATACATTTGTATAATTGTTATATTAGAAAGTCAGACGAAAATATTAATGAGAAACCATGGATTTGAAGAATGATAAATATATTAATGTATAAATTTTTGATGTATAATTAAGCATGGATCAGATATTATGTATTGGATTAATGGTAAGTTTGATAGTGAAAAGATTTTTACCACTTCATTTGCAGCATTGAAGTGTGGATCTTTAGGCAGTGCTCCCCTTGGTCTCATCGAATTGTAGAATTTCCATGAAGCTTCTTCAATGTCAAGGACAAGTATTGTCCAGTGAAAATTTTGGTGAATAGGGAACAGAAGGTATCTTGCTTTCATTGCTTCAGGCATTATTTTGTTGAGCATTCGTGTTCTTGCTTCCTCATCTTTTGTAGTAAGCAAGTGCTGACAAATATAAATAAAAAAATAATGTTAATTTAACTTTAAACTTTTTCAAATTAAATAGGTGGTGAGTATGAAACTTTGTCACTGTGATCAAAATTTTATCAATCCATATCAAAATTTATCAGTGCATTGCAAAATTCATTTATACTACATATAAAGGGAACACATCTATTGGTGTCTTGAGGCCTTTTTTTCTCCTCCATGTGAAATGGATCTTTATATCCCCTAATACATGTATACTATGCTTCTCTTTCATTCTATAAATATTCATAGATGATTTGTAACAGGCTATATATCCATACTGCTTATTTCAAGTACACTCATGTGAGTGTGCACATCTACTAATATATATATATATATATATACATATCATGATTCTCTTCAAGTTGTAATGAAAGTTGTCCGTTACTTAATAAATTACATGAAACAAGAGCTCTATGAGGCTTCACCACTAACAAAATGAAAGTGAACTATGTCCTGCAACATCATAGCATATAATCAAGCTATTTCAATTTCAACGCATCTCAATATTTGTTGAAGTTCTCAATATCATATACAGTAGTTTCAAAAACCCAAAAAAGTGCCCAGAATTTGTAATCAAAGTCTGGGATCTATTCATACTGTGGCGCCACAATAACAAGGTCAAAATATGTAATAGTGATTATGAAATCTGAGTTATAAATTCTGGTTTGGTTTGCTTGACTTTTTGTTTCACATGTCAAGCTTTGAATTAGGAAACATGGCCAATTGAAGAAGGAAGGTAGTGTCATATGTTTGAAACTAGTTACTCAGTTAAGCAAACAGAGGTTATACACTGATAAAAAACAAAACAAGTGTCGTTCCTCACTTAAGCAAAGTAGTTACTTACATGGCAACTTGAAATGAATACGAATGATGTTGTTCCTTGTTTTTGTGCAAGCAAGTGTTCTGCATATGCATCTATTACCTGTGTTGAAAACAAAAAAACAAAACAAGGAATTAATATAAATGAAACACTAAAATGTTATTTTAATGAGTTACAAATTCAACTTACAATGCCTGCCAAATCTTGACCCTTCAATATTTTGTCAATGTCATTTAAGTAGACATAGGTTCCATGGTGAGATCCTTGCCACACTGGCTGATCCTTGAAAAAAAGGTTATTAGTGTTGGAATAATAAATTTATTAATATTTTTGGAATATTTGATATTTATAAATTCAAAATGAGTTAATGATAAACAGTGGGCAAAAGTGAACTACAGGAGTTAAGAGAGAAGATTGTTACTTGTTTTTTTGTATTCGCCCAATGTGCAATGAGATTTTGCCCTGATTTTTCTGGTAGGATGTTGAAAATTTCGTTTGAAGTTTTCAATTTCTTCATTGCAGGCTGTTGTTGTGTGTGTTATTCTTCAGAGTACTTGTTTGCCTCAGCCAATGTTGCAATTCTCTCATGGAGTATTTTGATTTCTTCATCTTTCCTTTACATTTGTTTTTTGTGCTGTTCTTGCATTTCCTTTTTCAGCTTGTTGAGTTGCTGCTGCAGGTTATCATTTGTAGTTTGAAGGATGTCCCTTTCCATTTTTAACTTTTCCATTTTGAGCATGTCGTCTTCTATCCTCTCAAAAACAAGTACTTCTACCAGATTTGGATCCACTTTAGGCTCTTTGTCAACTTTGTTTCCTTCACTCTTTAGTGATTCAAAGGGTACTGTTTTCTTTTTCTTTTCAGGGCATATTTCTTGTGGAATTGGTTCCCATATTTTATGTTTGGATTTGTCTTCAGTCAATGTTTGTTCTTCTATTTCAGAAATTTCAGCCTGATTTTGTTGCGAAAAATCAGCATCTTCATCTTCATGTTCATCTTCATCTTCATCTTTATCCTGAATTTCTCCTAGCAGCATTCGGTATGTTTTTTTCTCTTCATCTGTGTGCTTCAAATTGTTCTCCTATATATATGAAAATTAAAAAAATGAATGATATGATACAAATTTCAGAGATAAATTTCTCATAGGAAATTTTATCACTCAATTAGGAAAATTAAACAAATCTATGATTGTTATAGCAAATTTTATCACTGAACTAGGCATAGTAAGCAAACCTGTCATTGTATATCAAATTTTATCAGTGAATTAGCAAACGTAAGCTAATAAAGTAAATATTAAACAAAACTCATGCACAATAGACAAATAGAAAAACATTCACTAGATAAAAGAATTTTTCACTCAATTAGGTAAAGTAAGGGAAATTTGTTACTCAATTAGGCAAATTAAATAAATATATCAGTGTGAACAAAAAATTATCACTGCATAAGAAAATCTATCATTTGTTTACACAAAACAAAGGTTAGCATTGCATACCACAATATCTTTTAGCTCTTGCAAGGATGAACTTGCCAATTTCTGTCCCAAACATGTGATGTTCCATTTAGCAAATCTTGGGATTGCATTTTCGGCATTGGGTTTGATGGTGCTTGTGTGTTCGCATATCCAATACTGTTGAAAAAAGAAAAAAATTGTTATAAACAAGTATTTAGTAAACGTAAATATTATAGTTCATAAGTTATAAGTGAGATATTTACTTACCAATATGACCATCACACATCCGGACACTTTATCAATTTGGTTGATGTTTCTTTCTATTGATTTTGTGAGATGTTGCTTTGCTGCGTCACACCAATCATAAGACTTCATTTTGTCAATATCTTCAAGATATTTCATGAACCCCCAACCAATTAATTTGAAGTCATTTCTTTTCAACTTCAGCTTCTTCCCAGCAATTTCAAATGTGGTTCCATCCATTTGGTAAGTTTGTAAAATTTTTGCAACCACATCATCATATTTCATTGAATCTCTTCTTTTAACCTTGTTTTCACTCAATGTATCAACCAGAAGTGAAAAAGGTGTCTTTCTCAATACTGTCAAATGCTCCTCTTTGAGTTTTGTTGTCTTGAAAAATTTGATAAGAGATTGAATATTGGAACGGTAGACATACTTTGCTTCATTATCATGTATCTGTTCAGTCCTTGTTTTTCTTCCATCAATTTTTTTCTTCCCTCTTGGTTTGTGGAGCTCTGTAGGTTGTTTCAGTTGTTCCTGTTTGGGCTCCTCATTGTCAATGTTAGATTCAGGTATAACTTTTAGTTGATTTTCACTTTCATGTGTTGTTGGCTCTATAACAAACTCAACTTTTTCAATCTTTTTCTTCTTTGAGAAACTTGTTTCTCGACGACGTAATCTTTTATGATGGCTGGCAACATCTGTACAAAAACATTGAGCATGAACATTGAAAATTAAGAAGAATTTTATCACTGAACTAGGCAAACTAAGTAGAATTTATCAATCTATTATGCAAATTAAGCAAATATATAACTGTGTAGCAAAGTTTAGATTCCAAATTGCAAAAGAACATGAAGTATCATGATGAAGATGAGAATAATTGTATAACAAATTTTATCACTGAATTAGCAAAAGTAAGAAAATGCATCATTGTATAGCAAATGAACATAAAGGTATGATTGTTATGATGTTGAATATCACTCATAAATTAATACTGTATGGCACATATTTAAAATAGCTTCAGGTCGAATTTTATCACTCAATTATAGTTATGAAAGAAGAAGGGAAGCAAATCCATCGTTATAACAAATTTTATCACTCAATTAGGAAAATTAAGCAAATCTGTCAATCTTATAGCAAATTTTCTCACTGATTTGGGCAAAGTAAGCAAATCTGGCATTGTATAGC